GGCATGTTTTCCCTATACAGTAAAACCCGTGAGAGCCGGAACTCGACGGGACTGCCTTGAATCTCCCAAGTCTTCCGCCTCTGACAGGGTGCAGTCTTACTGCTTCTCTAGCGCTCACTTTAATGAAAAAATATTTGAGTTTTCCTTCCCTGACAAGTTTCCACCTTACACAGGTTCTGGCTTTTGCAGGTTTTATCGCATATATTTTATCACAAGAAAATTTAAAAACAGCAAGACTGTGCTGGCCGAACAGTGAGTCTGTGGGCAGTTCTGGAGTTTTCCTCTCTGGCAGGGACGCAGGATCCAGGCCCCGCCCATGGCCCCGCCCCTTCCCGGGCCCCGCCCCTTCCCGGGCCCCGCCCTCACCGAGACCATCTTGCCCTCGGAAGGCATGAAGGCGGGCCGGTTGCTGAGGCGCAGCTTGGTCTGCAGCGTGTTGAAGTTGATCTCCAGCTGGCACTTCTCCTGCACCTTAGGCGGCTTGTGGACGCGCCGGTAGTCGCGGAAGTCCTCCAGCTTCTGCTGCATCTCCTGGATGGTCTTTTGGGGCACGCGGTCCTCCAGCCAGGGGATGGTGCGCCGGATCCACTCCAGGAGCTGCGGGCCCACAGGAAGCCATAGGGTAGGGGGGGCTTTGCAGGGAGCCCTCCCCGTGCTGACAGGGTCGCCCCAGGCTCACGGCGCACATGGGACTGGGGCTCCGAGGGCCCCGGCTCAGAGACTGCCTGTGCTCCCCGGCCCGCCTGCTCCAGGATTCCCACTGGGACCCCCGCAGGGAACTCTGGGGACCACTGTGCTGTTCCCTGGGTACTCCCTTCTGTGCCTTTGCCCTTGGTCTTCCTTCTGCTCACATCTAAGGGCTGCCTCAGCCCAAGCACCCTCCTTGGGAGGTGGTCCCTACCACCTGCTACCACATGAGCAGCTGCCCCCATCTGCACTGAGCCCAGCATGGCCGAGATGTCTTGTTTCCTCCATCACTGACTGGGAGCGCCCGCCTCCAGTGCAGGGACAGGGGCCGGCACAAGTGCCAGCTGCACTCTGGGAGGGCCAGCGCCCCGCACAGGGCCTGGGACGTGAAAAATAAAACTGAAAAATAAATTAACAAGTATCTTTATAAGCCTCTCAGATCTCTGATTTGAGTGAAAACCAACAACCAAACCTGTTGCCATTGAGTCAATTCTGACTCATAGTGACCCTACAGGACAGAGTAGAACTGCCCCAGAGTTTCCAAGGAGTGGCTGGTGGACTTGAACTGCCGACCTTTTGGTGTGCAGCCAGAGCTCTTAACCACTGCACCACCAGGGTTTCCTTGATGGAATGAGGTAGCATATAACCAAGCAAACAGCCTGGAAATTCTAAAACAATTCCAGGAAAAGTCAAGCTGGCTGTTTTCCGGCATAGATGTGCTTGGAGGAGTGGTTCCCAAGTACTGATCTCTGGCAAGATGAGAAAACCCAGGGCAAAGGTACCTATGTGTGCGTATGTCTTGATGTGTCGTGCCAACTGTCCTTTCTCTATGAATACAGCCTTTTCACTTTTCTTGGAGTTACAAATGATGATGATAATAGATGGTCGTTTTTTCTGTTTTAACATCCCTAACTTGGCAAAATAAAAAGTTGGCAACCCTAGGTTAGCTGTTAAATACTTTTTCAAATTTTCCTGGTCCATGAAATCCCAAAGTCTGGGAACCACTGGTCTAAGAGTAGCAGTTTCCAAACTACGACTCTCAGGGCGTGTAAACTGTCTTCATCCTTTAAATACAAAAATTTTAAAGACAGAGAAGACTCTGGAAGAAACAGACTAATCACCCACATTGCCAACTGAAGTTACAGGTTCAGGTTCAGGAGGGGAACTACCTGGCTGGAATCCCAGCTCTC